GGGAACATCCAAAACAGGGAGCAGTCTGGGAATTTGGGTAAACCAGCCCGGAGGGTGAGACAGCGGGCGGAAAGCTGCCCATTCCACCAACGCCACTGGGAGAGCCCGGGGCCGAGCTAGCCCTTACAGATAACCCATCGTTCGAGCCAAAAATCACATCATTGTTCCGGAGATGACCCATCACAAAATAAAACAAGGCAGTAGAATAAGACCGTCGTAGGTCTTTCAGCACTTCCAGACGCCTGCCCCTGAATGACAGGCGATCTCTAATAAAGAAAGAATGATTCACTCTTCCGTGGCCAGCGTTGCCTAGGGCTTACATCCGGGTGTTATTGAGCCAGATTTGAACAGGACTGAGAAGGCCCCGATCCGGGCTTCCTTTGTCTCTAGAGTCTCAAACCTGAACCCTCTAGTCAAGGTCTGCAAGTTTTCGACGGAAGCAATGCTATCGCCCTTAGGCTGAGCTCACTATGGTTTACCTCTTCTCTTCAATCTGCTGGCCAGGAAGGTACTAACAAGTATTTGCTTATTTATTTAAAATGGTTTTTTTTACCCCGCCTTTCTCCTTCGAAGGACCCAAGGTGGCTTACACCCTTAAAAGACAATATTTCAACCGAAAAACTGTAAATAGATAAGTACCAAAGAGGGTCAAATAAATGCCACGCTAAAGAATGGTAGACATTTTCATATGGTACAGCGGGAATCCGGTACCAGGGACTTTATTCTGTCCCTTAGGCTCTTTAACATCTCTATGGAGCCACTAGATAAGGTATTCAGAGGTTTCAGAGCTGGTACCTCCCGTATACGGACAACATCCCACTCATTTTTCCCCTACAGAGTCCGGGGAGTGTGTGCAGGTGCTCAGTTTGTCCGGCCCTTTGGGAAGCTAGATAAGAAACTGAATCCAAACAGGATGGAGCCTCTGTGTTTTGGTGGTTCCTGTGAACATCGTGGTTTGGGAGGCAACCTAGGCACACATTCCAGAAGACCAGCTACTCATCTTGGGGTCTCCTAGACCCACCTCTGTCACCAGCAGCTCGAAGGATCCAAGCGCTTGGAACCAACTTCAGTTCGTTCCGTCCTCTGGAATGGAGGCAATCCAGGCACAGTTATTCACGTAGTAATCACCCTCCTTAGGTCACTGCAATCCTTGAAGATTATATCAATGCTGTGGTGAGTGCAATATGTGGCTGCTAAACTACTGGCAGGAGCAGCTTTCAAAACATGTATGAAGTGTGCTGCTTAAATACCACCCTGTAGTGCTTAAAGCTCTCTCTGGGTAGTTTGCAATTTAATTAGGCAGGCGGCCCATTGCCCCCACCTGCACCTCTGAGAGCTGGAATTCAGTTCACCAGCTTCTTCTCTCTGGGTAGTTTGCAATTTAATTAGGTAGGCGACCCATTGCCCCCACCTGCACCTCTGAGAACTGGGAACTCAGTTCACCAACTTCAGAAGGTATTTATTTATTTATTTATTTATTTATTTATTTATTTATCATTAGGACATAGAACCTGTTGTTAATTTATCTGAATCCCACCACTGGATGGAAGGTCGAGTCAACTTTGAGCTGGCTAACGGAGCCTTTTGGGATTCAACTCAGGTCCTGAGCAGAGTCTTCACTGCAGTACTGCAGCTTTGACCACAGTGCCACGAGCTTCGGTTCCGAAATAATGACACTGGCTGCCAATATGCTTCCGATCTGAGTTCAAGATGTTGCTGAAGACTTCGATAGCCCTAACTAGCTTGGGACAGAGGCATCTGAGGGAGGGAATGCTTCCCATATACATCTGTCCAATTGCTCCGCTCTCCTCAGAGGGGCCCCCTCTGTCCCCTGCCATTGAAAGTGACGGGAGAAAGGTTTTCGTAGCTCTAACATCCCAGTTCTAGGAAGTCCTTGCCATGAATCCATTCCAGTTCCCTTTTTTTGGACAATGTTAGTGACAGGTAGGGCTTTGACGGTAAGGACATAGCGTAGTGCAAGCTGGGTGGTGCACCAAGAGAACTCTTGGCTTGGTTTCCAGACCGTGTAGTTTATATTTTCACCGGCCAAGCTGTTCCAAGCTGCCTGAACATAGCTGGATCATTTTAAATTATTTTACCATGGTTTTACTGATTGTGCCCTAACCCAGAGACCGGTCAGAACAGGATGGATTTGAATCTCTATTTAACCAATGTGTCGACAAAGCTCTGTGTAGCCTCTCCTTTGAACCTGGAGGAACAAATCGGGGTAAGCAGGGCGAGGTTTTGCAAACTGACCTTGACGCTCGTGATGGACGTTTCACACTCAGAATAGGTCGCCCCCATCATGTTGGGGAGAACCATCTTATTGTCAGCCATTATCTCTGGAAGAGGGAAGTGGAAAGAGCTGTCTTTAGAGCAGGCTTCACCTCGCCCTTCCTTCTCAGCCACTGAGTGTAAGAACACCCTCCTCTCTACGTACGCACTGCATACAAACAGAAACAAGTACCCACCGAGGAGTCTCCCACAGTTGCTTCATGCCAAGATGGCAGGAATCTCAGCCAGGAAAGCTCTAATGTCAAAGCCCAGAGCTTCTCCTCACACAGCATAATGACAGGGATCAGCTGTCTAGCTCAGTACTGTCGGTACTGGGAGGCATTGGGGGGATGGAGCAACGGCAATCAACTGGGAATCACAGAATCATGGAGTCGGAAGGGGCCTCAAAGGCCATCGAGTCCAACCCCACCCCCTGCTCAAGGCAGGGCTCCAGATCCAAGCAGATCTGACAGACGGTTGTACGTCTCCTCACACAGCATAATGACAGGGATCAGCTTGATCCCAAGGCAGACGAAGATCCGTCTAGCTCAGTACTGTCACTACTGGGGGGTGTCCATGGGGAAGGGAGCAACGGCAGTCAACTGGGAATCACAGTCACGGAGTTGGAAGGGGCCTCAGAGGCCATTGAGTCCAACTCCATCCAGATCCAAGCAGATCTGACAGATGGTTGGCCCATTTCCTCTTGAATGCCTCCAGTGTTGGAGCACTCACCATCAATCAAGATCTTGGGTTCCATTGTCACGCTGCTCTAACAGTTAAGAGGTTTTTCCTGATATTCAGCCTAAATCTGGCTTCCTGCAGCATGAGCCCATTTTGTCATGAGTCCTGCACTCTACAATGATGGAGAACGGATCCTGCCCCTCCTCTTTATGACTACCTTTCAAGTATTTAAAGAGTGCTCTTCTATCTCCCCTCAGTCTTCTTCTCTCTAGACTAACCATGGCCAGTTTTTTTCAGTTTTAACTTATAAGGCTTGGTTTCCAGTCCTCTGATCATCCCTGTCGCCCTCCTCTGATCTTACTCCAGTTTATCGACTTCTTTCTTAAATGTGATGTCAGAAGTGGACACAGGACTCTCCAGATTAGGCCCAGCGAGTTCTGAATAGAGGGGAGGTAGTATTTCATGGGATTTGGGGATTACATGTCTGTTAATACAGCCTAAAATAGTATTTGCTTTTTTTGCAGCCCCCTTGCCGTGTTGGCTCATAATCAGTTTTTGATCTACAAAAATTCCTTCTCTCTCATAGTATTATTGAGCCAAGTACCCCCCCCATCTTGTAACTGTGTGTGTTTGTTTGTTTTCTCTCCTAGGTGTAGGACCCCACACTTATCCCAGTTGAATTTCATTCTGTTGTTTTCAGCCCAGTGCTCCAGCCTATCAAGGTATTTTTGAATTTGGTTCACATCTTCCAAGGTATTAGTTATTCCACCCAATTTCATGTCACCTGCAAATTGGATAAATACACCTTTCAGCTCCTCATCCAAGTCGTTAATAAAAATGCTGAAGAGCACAGGGCTGAGGACAGAGCCCTGGGGTACCCCACTTGCTATCTCCCCCCAGTTTGAGAAGGAACTATTCATAAGCACTCTCTGATTCTGTAACCATCTGTATCTTCCAAACCTCTTTAGTTTGCTAATCAGAATATCATGGGGCAGTTTGTCAAGGGCTTTGTTGAAGTTAAGATAGATTATATCGACATCATTCCCCCACTCTGCCAGGGAGGTTACCCGATCAAGCCAAGGAAAATGACTCTCGTAAGCATTTCTAAAAATGGTTTTCAAAACAGCTGGCTGTGTCATGGACCATTTACACCATGAACCGTCACTTACTGTTGACATTTGGCAGGCAGACGCTGCTTACAATATCTTCCATGTATCCCTTCAGTGCTTCTACCTAGAAGAAGAGGCCAAACCTTCATTACCATCCGGACATAACCTGTACATGAAATTGATGTGTTGTCCTTATGGCTTGTTTGTTTGTTGTGGGTTTTTTTTAATTTTAAGGCTAACATTTGACAACTGCTTTTGCAACTCTGGATTCTTCCAAAAGCTGCTCAACCAATAAAGACCCCTTTTGCTGCATTTTCCTTATCAAATTCTGTGTAGCTGTTGCAGATGGCAAACCACTAGATCCATAACTCCTCTTGGCAGTGAAAGGATTCTTGTCCTGAAATGCCCTTTCCCCACCTGGCTCTCTGAGAAATACTCCCGGGTGTGAAGACAGTTGTGAAAGGCACTCTGTCTGGGCTGGGACCTTGTCCGAAGAGTGACATCTTCTTGGCCACGGTGTCTTCCACGGCTTTGCATCTTTCTAGCTGCAGGGTTGGGATTTTGGCTCTGAGCCCTGGCACAATGAATGGCTCCCTCTCTAAGCACTCTGAGCCCTACCAGTCTAGTTCCTTGGGGGTACCAGCAAATAAACCGGGAATCTGCTTTGTGTCCCACCACTGAGATCCTGAGCACCTTCGATGGTGGTGGTGGTAGGACAGGAAAGCGAAGCCCTATTCATATGTGCTCAAAGCATGTGAAGGCCACACGGGATGTGGGCAGAACCTTAGCTTCCAACACAGAAAGACAGCCTTCTAAACAGGAGGCTACTCTATCTACCTATAGCCTTGCCGGTACCCCAGTTTGGGGAGGAAGTCCGGCTTGTGTGGAGGGGCTTCCTAGAGTGCCTCCCCTTCTTCAGACTGTTGTCGTCCCCTAATTAATGTTGTGGATTGTGGGTGGAACACTTCCTCCCTCTCCTTGCAGGTGGGCTCCATGTGTTTAGGTCAAGGTAAACCTTCCCCTTGACAATTGAGTCTAGTCGTGCCCAACTCCAAGGTCTAGTTGTGTCCAACTCAACCACCTCATCCCCTAAACCTTCCCCTTGACAATTGAGTCTAGTTGTGCCCAACTCAACCGGCTCATCCCTGTTTGGAAGCCAAAGAGCTGGCATTTCTCTGTAGACACTTTCTGTGGTCATGTGGCTGGCATGACTAGACATGGAACGCCATTACCTTCCCACCAAGGTGGTAGCAATTCATCCATTTGCATGCTTTCAAACGGCTAGGTGGGCAGGAGCTGGGACGAGCCATGGAAGCTCAGCCCGTTGCACAGATTCGAACTGCTGACCTTTTGATCGACAGCCCAGTGGCTCAGCGGTTTAACCCACAGCGCCACCTTCGTCCTCCTCCATGTGCTCATGGAACGCCATTACCTTCCCACCAAGGTGGTAGCAATTCATCCATTTGCATGCTTTCAAACGGCTAGGTGGGCAGGAGCTGGGACGAGCCATGGAAGCTCAGCCCGTTGCACAGATTCGAACTGCTGACCTTTTGATCGACAGCCCAGTGGCTCAGCAGTTTAACCCACAGCACCACCTTCGTCCTCCTCCATGTGCATACAGTCCACCTAAACACAGTTCCTTTCAGCACCAGGGTATGTGCTATGATCCGTACTATCATTCTGCCCCCCACCCCATCATCAAGGAGGAACTTTCCTGTTACTTGCTATCTTAAACACTTTTTTAACCATGGAGATGTCCCGGAGCAAACCTGTAACTTTCCTCATGCTGTCTCTGCCCATTCCAGCAACACACATAATGGCATGTCCTGGAACACAAGCCAGAGGAGATTTTAAAAGGTTCAGGCGGTGATCCAGTACAACATGTGCCTGCTGGTGGGATTCCCACTCCTAGTTCCACCTGTTTCTGGTGAAGGAACATTTCTCTAGGTTACGCTGAATATTTGGAGAAGAATATCCTTCCTAGGACAAGTTTGTCATTCAGATTTATGCACAATCAGCTCAGAATCTCATTGCCGTTTGTACTTGAGCTGGAAAGGAAGGAACACAACATCCCTGTAAAACAGCACCAGAAGTGGAAGTCCAAAGCAAAGTAATCCTTGCTGGGACAAGGAGGAGTGAACAATCCTCCAGGGTCGCCGTGCAAGACCATGGAGGGTGGTGCTCCTGGCAGACATCTCAGGGTCTGAAATCCTGAAATGTGGGTGCCAACACAATTCAATGTGGATCTTAAAGGTTGTATCTTAAAGGAACCTGAAACTTACATCAGCCTCATCCACCGATGGGGAAAAATCACGGACATCACTGGTTCTGCAAGATAAAGGAGGGGGAGGAGGAGAAAGTGGCCGGTGGAAGTCTATGCAGGTCAGTTTGTCCACCCCCTCTGGCCCCCCCCCGCCATCCCATTCTACCCCTAGGAAGCCTTCCTTGAACATTCAGGGGTTTCCCACAATGACGGCCTCCTTTCTGGGCCTTCCTCAAAGGCTGCCTTTGTTTTTTAAAGAAGATCTCTCAAGCTTAGCCTCTTGGGCTCAGAGGGTCACACCTTAGAGCAATACAAGGATTTTTTTTCTTTCCTGCCTCCTGTTACAACATTATCCCTCCAGGCTTGCAGAGCCCAAGTGCCAGAGACGTCTGATGTGCAAACAAAGCCCTGCTCTCTCTCACACACACAGCTGATTGATGATCGTGCACAAGGGAGCCAACCGTACACTAAGGCACTTAATAATAGTAAATGGCATCAACCGATAGGTTGGCTTCTCTCTTAAGGGCGTATTGCTTCTTTAAAAAAGTGTGCTGCTTATATACCGCCCCATAGCACTTCAAGCACTCTCTGGGTGGTTTACAATTTAATTATGCAGGCTACACATTGCCCCCCCCCCCAGCAATTTGTACTGCTGGGTACTCATTTTACCGACCTCGGAAGGATAGAAGGCTGAGTCAACCTTGAGCTGGCTACCTGGGATTTGAACCCCAGGTCGTGAGCACAGTTTTAGCTGCAGTACAGTGGTTTAACCACTGCGCCATGAGGCTCTAGATCCAGAATTGGCTGCTGGTCTCGGGGGAGGGGGCACTTTTTCTTCCTTCCCAGTGGAATGGAAGCCTAGGGATATCGGCTCCAGTTCTGAGTCTTAAGTCTCAAGTCCAAGCCTGGAGTCCTCCCCACCCCCTCAAGACTTGGGACTTGGGAATCTAATGCAAAGACTCAGACTTTGCATGTGCCGGAACTGTGGGACTGCAGCTGATGCCATGGCCCAAGTCCCTATGGGCACGTCCCCACCAAGCCATCCCAAGCTCGCTTGCTCTCTCTGTGTGCGCACGTGCAATACAAGATGTAAAAAGAGGGGACCCCTTTCTTTGGTCTCCACTGGCAAGATCAAGGTAAGTGGAAGATCGCACACACCCCTTCTCTGTGAGTCTGACCCCTTTCTCTCTGCCCCCTCCTTCCCCCTGCCCAAAGGGGAGCACAGAGGACAGACAAGCAGACAGGGGTCGTTTAGGCCAGTGGTGGGCTGCTTTTCCTCCCCCTTCTAGCTTGCCTCTCTCCCTCTTTGGCCAATTCTGCCCCCTGCCCTTCCCAGCTGTTCTTGAGCCTAACCCCCCCCTTTTTTTTTCTCCCAAACTGTGGCTTTGGACAAGCCTTGAACAGGATGTTCACACAGAAGGGCACATCACATCTCCTTCCTGAGCTCTGAAACTCTGGCTTTGGACAAGCTTTGAACAGGAAGTTCACACAGAAGGACATATCACATCTCCTTCCCGAGCTCCACTGACCCTGTTTTGACCGCAGCAGCCCCACGCCAGAAGAGTCAATCTGGATCTCCACAAAGGGCAAGGACTGACATATGTTTTAAACACCCTGCAGCAGACTGCAAAACTGGGCATGCGGCAGGTTGCAAACCTGAATGCACACAGAGAGCTGACCAGGGAGGTTTGAAACCTGCGTGATTGCCTTAAAAATGTCATGTTTACCACTTGGATTTAGGCTCTGGGTGTCTGGATGCCCTCATATTAAAGAAAAGCTCTTGTTGCTTCACACATGCAAACATGCGTATAAACAGGGCAGACGGCTTTTGCCTCTCACCACAGCCACAAGGCCGAAATGCTCAGTATTTACAATCAGAAACACAGAGGAGGTCGGCTGTTGTTATAGGGGCTGGCATGGAAGAAGGAACAATAAGGACAGGCAACCATATGCTCAAAGTGAGTCTGCTCCTCATTTCCAGTAGAATCCAATCCCAAATTATGGTAATTGCTGGAGGGAGCAGTCTTTGGGGACCACTTAGCCTCCAATGGGCAATTAAAACCCAGTCCCCTTGGAAGCCCCTGCTGCTGATGGAGAGAAAAAAACGTGGCCTGTTAATGTGGAATAATGTTCTAGTTGGACTATCCACGGAGGTTTGGCTCTGGCAATTGCCGTTTCATCATTGCGGGTGCAATTTTTCACATCCTCATAAAAGGGTTTTAGACTTCATGTATGAAGACAGCCATAAACATGGAAGAAATCCGAAAGCCGCAATCTTTCGCCGACAAATTGTTCCACAAGGTGGTTAGAATCCAAAGTTTCTTACCTGACTTCATACGCTTCGATTTTCAACTTTTCATCGTCCACGGCAAATTTGGTCAACCATTCGTGGGTCTGCAGATAAACAGCAGAAGAAAAATCCAATGAAAAGCAGGTGTCCTCTCCCCCGCCCGGGCCAAAAAATGACATGATTCTGATCTACCAAGCAGAAGGAACGAGAGCTGGCATTTTTCTCTGAGTTTGAACGAGCACCCGATGAGAACTGAGATGCAATTCGCCTTCTCAGAAAGATGGAAACTTCAACCTCTGATTTCAAACCTTTTGAGATGTGAGAGATTTCGGGTCGAAATGAGATGAGCGAGGGGGGGTGGAAACCCCTTCCAATAATCCCTGCTTCCTGGTGTTCCAAGACAACCACCACCCAAGCCTTAGGAAGCCAGCATGAAGAGTTGAGTTGCGGGACACACTGCAAAAAGTCAGACTTAAGTCACACCAGCAGCTCAAATCAGACTCAACTCGTCACTCAACCTACCCACCCCCTCCCTTTTTCCCTGGGGGGAAAAGCTTGCTTTTAATAGGGACTTGGGTCTTGGGTCTCAGGACTAAAGACTCAAACTCAGACCCAAAGACATGCCAACATCCCTCTTAGGAAGGCAGGAGCGAAATGTCCTGCCCCACCTGTCCTGACAGAAGCTCCTGGAACAGAAGGGGGGGAAAAGCAGACCATGTTTCCCATCGCTGCCTCCTTTCCCCTGTGCCTTCTCTCCAAATCTGTCCTTCCAAATCACCTCTCTCCCTCTTTTTGGAGCAATCCATGCCCATGGCATTACCCTAAACCACCGCTATTCCAAACTAAATTTCTAGGCTGGCCACTAAACAGGACTGGCGGTTGCTTCCGAGGGCGACGTTTGCACTTCCCTTCACATCTAAGCACTTCTGACAAGCCCTTGATATTTGCACTGCCTGGCGAACATGAAAGAGTATGAGCGGAATGCTAAAAGGTCTTGCCGCTTATCAACGCAGGGTGTCCTCTCTTGGTTGATGACTATATGGGCAGGATTGAGTCCAAAGAGCTCCGTGTTGCTGAACCCGAGGCCAGTTTCATCACTGGGCCCATTGCACTCTGGATCGGCACAAGGGGACTCAAGGGTCTCTGGCATTATGTCTAGCCTTAGAGAGGAAGATAGACTTGGTGGCACAGCGGCCACGCGTGCCACCACCAGGAAGGGAAACAGCAGGTGATGTGGAAGAGCAACTGGCTCTTGTTAAGAGTGGCTGTTGTCATCGTTGTCCTTGTTGTCATCGTTGTCCTAGGCCTCCTCTTAGAGATGGAACAGGTGAAATCACCTGAAATGGCATAGAGCATGACGCCAGGGGCTACTTCCGACGGTGGGAGAGGTCATTGTACCTCACTAGGTAGCTACCACCCGCCTTAAGCTGGGCAATCCCCAGCCACTAACAAGGGACAGATTGCACTTGTCTGCAATGGGAAAGGGATGGTTACTCTTGAATCGGCCTTCTCAGCCACACTAGACACTGTTCCAAGTCCTCCAGTCAGAGCATATTACCATAGTCTCCCAAGAATGAAGGAGGCTTAACTAACTTCTCACTGGAAGGACAGATCCTGAAGCTGAGGCTTCAATACTCATGAGAAGAGAAGACTCTCTGGAAAAGACCCTGATGTTGGGAAAGTGTGAAGGCAAGAGGAGAAGGGGACAACAGAGGACAAGATGGATGGACAGGGTCATTGAGGGTACCAACATGAATCTGACCCAACTCCAGGAGGCCGTGGAAGACAGGAGGGCCTGGCGTGCTCTGGTCCATGGGGTCACAAAGAGTCGGACATGACTAAATAACAACAAAACTTCTCCATGCATCCCTGGCATGTACAGTTTCAGCGTTGGCACTCCTAGAAGGGTTCGTGCATCAGAGATTTCTTTGGTAGCCTGTCTCTCAAAGAGCCATCTGACAAGGGTGGGAGTAGAAAAACTTGTACAACTCTTGGAGAATTGCACACACCACCAACACCAACATCAAATGAACCTACAGTGATGCAACCGTCCACCTCAGACTGGCCAACAAAGCTCAGCATCAGGATAACATCTGGCATGAGCAGCTAATCTATCCAGTTGTGATGTTTCTGTCATGCTTCCATTTCAAAAATGCCAAAGTGGTTTGCAGAACTGCAAAGTTAAAAAACCACAACGGCGGTAAAATCTGGGGAGGAAACCATGAAACGGTAGCGCATTTCATGAAAACACCTGGAGTGTCCCAGAGCAGCGGACTAGGCGACAACCTGGCGGATGCCTAGCTGGACAAATAAGGCTTCAGCTGGTGGTGAAAATACCTTCCCGTCAGTGGGAGACCATTGCACAAGCAGATCAACATGGAATCCTCAGGGCCGTTCCCTGAAGAAGGCCTTCTCGGCAGCTCCTCCAGACAGCACAGTACAATAACGTCCATCGAATTCCCCACCCCGGCTTCTGCATCTTAGCAATGGAAGAACGGCTGGTCCTTTTATCTCTCCATCAGCCATGTGGTTCCACCGCATGTGGAGTTTCACGGGTGGAAGGAAAGGCGAGGAGCAAGGACAAGTGGCGCATCCACCAACAAGGAGTGACTAGCCACTAGGAAGAAGAAGTCTGTTATAGGCTTACCATCCGGAAGGATAAGATAGACCTCCCAGTGTCATGAATTAGGATGTCGACCTTGGGAAAGATAACCAGAGAGCTCTTCCCTTCTGCCAAGGAAAACTTGGGAGGTTCTTCCGGACGTATTTCGACCTTCACTTTTCCCGAGGGAGGCAGCGTATCTTTAATCTGTGGGAAATGCAGTTAAGATCAAGGTTGTCAGTGCTGAGATAATAGCATTCCTATATGCACAAACACTGTGTTATCAGTGGGAGGGATGGCCTAACAGCTGAATGTGATTGTCTTCTGGCGCTAACCTGACTGGTAAAGTTCTTTTTCCCACCTTTGGGATTTGAGGCAAACCCCCATTCCCTCTTCCTGTTTGTTTGCTTGTTTCCATTGTTTTGTTGATAGTTCCTCTTCTTTCTCTCACCATCCTCCGAGCAGCAAACATGCAGGATCTCCTGCAAACTAGAGACTCAATTTTTCCTCTTTTTTCTTCTGACTGTAACTATAGATGGTAACTGTAAGTGAAGATACACTTTTTCCTACTTTATTTCCTTCTAGAGTGATTTCCCCCCACCCCATACAAAATGGGACGATGCAAAAGAAACCAAAGGGACAGGCAGGAGCTGAGCTCAATGGAGGAACCAACACAGAAGCAAAGCCACAAACACTCCTTGGCATAGAAAGTTTTTCCAACCTTCATTTTAAAACTGACCAGGGAAGATTGGGGAAAGCTGAAGCCAAGCCCTGAGTGGCTGTAAGTATGCCCCAAAACTGGCTACAGTTTTCAGAGATTTTATGGGCTGGATTTGACCCCTGGAGAATGTTCTTTGATAAACACAGGTTTTACTGCAATTCAAGGAGCTTCTCTGCCATTTTATCCTGGCTTGCTCTCTCCAAAGGTTTTTTTCAAGGGTTTCTGTTGATTTCGGGTGAAGTGATAAATGTGTTTAGTTTTCACACTGAATTCGCAGTTTAAAAGTCTGAGTCAGCAGGTGTCGCACCCAAGCCCCAAACCAAATGTGGTTTCCACAGAGGTTTCTGCCATTCCAGAGCCAACGTTCTGAATCTTCCTAGCTGGACAGGGACACGATCCCACCTTAGAATCCATTCAGCAATGTAAAAAGCAATGCCTTAAACAGTATCTCAAGGAAACACGGACACGGTTCATACATCACGTGACTATCATGCGACTTTGTTGCCAAAAGCACATCTATGCTTTTTTGCAGGATCCATCTGTATTGTAGATCCACCCTTCGTTTCACCAGCATTCCGCCCCAAAATGCTATGGGCCCACTCACCGATGGCAGGATCTCTGCCAGCTTGTTCACTGTGAGGAGAGGACTCTGCAAAGAAAAGGGGGAAATGGAAGAAACCATCTGAGAATATAGGAAATTTAACCAGCAAAGGTCCGAGGCCAGCGTGAGATCAAGGGGTTTGCATCTACAACCCAGTTGCAAGTATTTCCAAAGTATTTGCTGCCTCGTTGCCCAACAGGTCTCTACTCAAATGACCTTGTGCACCTTAACAGCCCTCGGACCTTGTAGCCCTGTAGTTAAGATTGCAGGACTGCAGTGAAGACTCCACTCACAATTGGCTCGAGGTTGACTCTGCCTTCCATCCTTCTGAGCTCAGTAACATTGACTGCCCTGCTCACTGGGGGACAAGTTATGCTTTGCAATTATATTGTAAACCGCCCCAAGAGTGTGTTAAGAGCTATGGGGCCGTATATAAACATCACACTTTTTACTCGTATTTGAAGAAAAACGGATATGGTGACAGACCTCAGGGATTGTTACTCACGTCGGCACCGGTGACTTCACAGCTGAAATCATCTGTGAATAGTTCCATCATTGCATCGAGGATATTCACTGGCAGAATGATCTCTGTAGAGCCCTCCTTTTTCTCCGGCAGTTCGTCAGAAAGTGGCGGCTCGTTGGAGATTTCCTTCTCTTTTCCGTCTTTGTCACAGAATATAGGCTAAAAGGGGGAGAGGATGAAGGTTGGCCTCGGGAATTTGAAAGCAACTCAAGGACAGCCAGAGTCGTTTTGCATACAACAGGACGCAAGGCTTCTGTCAAATGTTCCATTCTCAACAAATGGTAAAAAGCGATTCACGCTTACCCTCAAACATAGGCCTATCCATTCACCATCTAGATCAGGAACGCCATCCAGTTCATACTGCATTGTTCCGTGATCGCCGATTTCATTCACAACTAGGTGGGGAGGCAAAAGAATACAGAAGATTATTTCCAACCTCTTGCTTAGCAATGGACCACCGTTGATTCAGTGATCGCCCTCATGTCTAGTTTCGGGGGCTGCTTGGAGAGACGGGGATGAGTGACCTCGCTTGGAAACAGGATAGTGCTTCTGGGATGCACAGGGCTCATCTTTGATGTTATAAAGCCATTCTTCTCTTCGGAAGCTGGCACCCTCGGAGGAAAATGTAGCGTGTGGGTAAACCTGACTTTATTGCAGAATAAGAATGAGGTCAACAGAAGGCTTTGATGTCTCAACTTGATTGAAATAAACAGATAACCTCTTTCCAGAGCTGGGAAGCAGCAGACGTTTATTAGACAAAGCTGGAAGAGGATCCTTTCAACGCTTGGCCAATCTCTGGAGCAGGGAGATGGCCAGGGTTGTAGATATGATCATTCCTAGGACACTCGTGTGGGGATAGTGGAAATCTCAGAGCAGATCTGATGAAACACGAGCCAGAGGAGCTTCCTCCGTGACTGTGGTGAGAGCAAATAAATGGTTTTTCTCTTGCACAGAACTATCCCACAGAGCTCTCTCGTGTAGTCAAGGCCCTGTGGTATGGAAGCTCTCGACGGCCCCCTATGAAGATTTTGCACAGCACTTTGCAGGCAAAATCACTCGACACCATTCTCTGACAGATGCCGGTCCAGTGGATGTAACTTGGGCCCCTCTTTGTCCTTTGAGAAAGAATAGGTGTCAGTTGTGTTGTCTGACAGCGTGGACAGGATCCTTGGAGCAGTGGCAACCGCCTTATGTGTGTATTGGACCGTGGCCCTTCCCACCTCACCAAAGGAGCTAAAGGAGAATTGGCCGAGCAGTTCGAGGCAAGGTGAATGCTGTTGTCGACAGTGGAGGGACACAATTTTGCCGTGTTTTGAAGAATCCCTGACAACCCTGGAATCTTCCATGCCCCCACAATTTTTATGTTGTTTTTTTCAAAAAAAACCCAACAACAACCATGGTCAGTGGGGAAATCTTCAGTTAGTTCCACTGATTTTTTTCCAGTTTGCAAAAAATGCAGCCACTTCTACAGTGCATAACCACTGAACTCAAAAGCATGACATATGCAAATTGAAAAATGGCCTGAAATATGCAAATTGAAAAATGGCCCTCAGCCCTGCTCTGATCCCACAACAACAACAACAACAACAACATGGTCACTGGGGAAATCTTCACTTAAAATTTTTTAGTTCCACTGATTTTTCCAGTTTGCCAAAAATGCAGCCACTTCTACAGTCCATAACCACTGAACTCAAAAGCATGACATATGCAAATTAGCCTTCTGAAATAGGCACATTTATCCTTGAGCTGCTGGCCATTTTGAAAAATGGCCCTCAGGCCTGCTCTGATCCCTCTACTCAACAAGATGGAAGAATTCTTTGGAAGGCACTAATTAGTGTCGATAATTAGATGGATCTGTTAAGTATCCATTTTAAAGGCAAGGAGAGCCAATCCCCGTTACCACGATGATTTAATTGGGTCCCATTTAGTCTGATGTTCACCCCAAACTGTAACTGTTTTCATGATTACAAGGCTTAAGGCCAGGCCCAAGGTTGGGGACCACTGCTCTGCTCAACAAGATGGGAGAATTCTTTGGAAGGCACTAATTAGTGTTGATAATGAGATGTATCTGTTAAGTGCCCATTTTAAAAGCAAGGAGAGCCAATCCCCATCACACGATGATTTAATTGGGTTCCATTTAGTCTGATGTTCACCCCAAACCGTAACTGTTTTAATGATTTCAGGCCCAAGGTTGGGGACCACTGCTCTGCTCAACAAGATGGGAGAATTCTTTGGAAGGCACTAATTAGTGTTGATAATGAGATGTATCTGTTAAGTGCCCATTTTAAAAGCAAGGAGAGCCAATCCCCATCACACGATGATTTAATTGGGTTCCATTTAGTCTGATGTTCACCCCAAACCGTAACTGTTTTAATGATTTCAAGGCTTTTGCTAAGTTCTGACCATTTAGCATGGAAACCAGAGAAGGACTCTGCTCGGAACAACGAGGAGAAGAGAGTGGATCAGATCCTGGCACTGATAGCCAAGTGAGCAAAGCAAAGGGAACTCCTGCTTCAATTCAATTTTTTTTCCACACAGTGTGAGACTGCCAGTGAGGCATGAACAGTGCCAGAAAGAGAGCATGCACAGAGTTCATGGTGTGCCAGAGAGAGAGAGAGAGAGAGAGTGAGAGACAGACAGACAGACAGACAGACAGACAGACAGACAGACAGACAGACAGACAGACAGACAGACAGACAGACAGACAGACAGACAGACAGACAGACAGACAGACAGACAGACAGACAGACAGACAGACAGACAGACAGACAGACAGACAGACAGACAGACAGACAGACAGACAGACAGACAGACAGACAGACAGACAGACAGACAGACAGACAGACAGACAGCTTGGAGAGAAGCCGTTCGAAAGGGGAACCCCACTCTGACAGGCAGGAGAAGGCTCGTGAGAGATCAACCCCCCCTCACCAAACATGTCCTCGATTCGTACAGCCATAATTGACACAACTTTGTCTGCTGCCGGGCACATCTGAAGGAAAGAGAAAAGGCCATCAGGATCAAAAGCAGAGTCTACAACTGTTAACCACAATCTTCTGTCCCTTTGTCCTAAGCTAGTTCGGTTGAATATCAGGAAAAACACCCTAATGGTTAGAGAAGGACAATAATGGAACCCATGACTTCAAGAGGAGGTGGTGAGCGCTCCTACACGGGAGTCATTCGAGAGAAATACTGGACCACCCTCTGTCCGATCTGCTGGGACTCAGAAAAACACCCTAATGGTTAGAGAAGGACAATAATGGAACCCATGACTTCAAGAGGAGGTGGTGAGCGCTCCTACACGGGAGTCATTCGAGAGAAATACTGGACCACCCTCTGTCCAATCTGCTTGGACTCAGATTCCTGCCTTGAGCAGGGGGTTGGACTCGATGTCCTTATAAGCCCCTTTCAGAAAATGAAATTCAAAGGGGCAATAGCATTATTAATGAACTCTGAGAGTCCTCAGATTACATGAACAACTCAACAGTTGCTAGGATCTTTAGGTCATCAATTTGGCCGGTGGTGGTGGTTCCTTGTTCAAAGCGTTGGGAGTTGGGAGGAAAATTCCAGCCAAAACTCCAGTGAAGTTTGAAACCATACTCCCAAACCCTGCTTGCAGCCTATATTTGAACTCACCTTAGGAGGCGGATCTGACACAATTATCTGCCATGAAGTTTTGGGACTCTCCTATATGTGTTTGTGTGTGTGTTTATATATTTTTTTCTGCACTATCTACAAAATCACGGTACAAAGCCAAGGAGAAGAGGGATTAACATTGAAAGCTAGTGGTTTCTTTCTGAGCAGTCTAATAAATTACATTTGTATTATTTTTAGGACCACACGAGTTTTTCTAATTTTTTTCCCTGAAACAAATCAGTTACTTATTTATAAGGTGGAACGGTGGCCATACTCTAGGGCAATAATGCCATGCATCGCCTCTGGTAAAAGCTGTCCTTGTTTCTATGCCTTGCCCAGTCCCAGTCAGGCGACTGAGTGCACAGCACGGAATATAGGAAGGCATTCATGAACTGCTGTGATTTATGCCACTGCACTTAATACCGGCATAAATAACCAGCAGAATTGGGCCAGCCCTTTAATGTTGATTTATTTTTATTTTTAATCTTGTTTTGGTTTTTGTTCTGAAACGGATTAAAAATCACCTGTGAGGAAGTGGGCAGTTCTTCCTGTACAACTTACCATGCCGGGCAGGACTTTCGCAAGAGTAGAGTTCAGGAACTTGTTCACTATCTTTGGAAGCATGCTGTGGGAGAAAAGAGCCGCATGAACCCAAGAGCAGCTGGGGAATCTAGGTTTAGGGCCTCGCTGGATTAGACAGGGATTACATCTCTCCTGCTCGGACCACGATTTCTTTTCAACATGTCTCCTTTATCCATGCATGGCTGTGCACAGAGGCCAAGGTTTGAAACATTGCGTGTTTCTGAGAGAGTCAGAAAAATAGTAGCATGATTATGGTGGTGGTGATGGTGGGTTTTCAGGAAAAAGTGCTTTAAAAGTGAAATTTGCAGCTTGAACTTTGTTGTTTTGAACATAATCTGCTGTTTTTTTTAAAAAAATAATCTGGCTCCATCAGAACAAGGGCAATGAATTAAAAATAGCCTTGACCACTGCATGAATGTTTTGGTTATAATTTGTAAATTTAAATAGGTTTATAGTAAACAACAGATGAATGAATGAATGAATGAATGAATGAATGAATGAATGAATGAATGAATCAATCAATCAATCAATCAATCAATCAATCAATCAATCAATCAATCAATCAATCAATCAATGGGAAAGGGATCTTTGACTGAATAACCTTATAGCACCACCTAAGTTCACCAGATGTGGGATGTATGCAGCCAAGTTATTTCTAGACTAGTGGTGGTAACGGGTAGAATCCAAAAGGTTAGAAAGGATTGTCAAAACACAGACCTTTATTAACATTATTTTTCCTCACCCAGGAAATGCAGTAAGCGTGAAGTCAATGAGAAATCACACTACCGTCATTGACATTTAGACATGCAAAGGTAGTTAAGGGTTATAAGCGCTCCCACGGTGGTTGGCGACTCCCTACTTGAAACTCCCTATACAAAACTCCATGTTTTGGGGTAAGCCCCTCTAAAGCTATCAAAGGTGCTGCTGAATCCTATCCTGAAAATAAGTCCAGTACCTTGGAACGCTCCTATAAAGTTCAGGCATCCAGTTTCTCCCCCTGCCCCTGCTTTCTGCTGCTCACTTCAGCCCAGAGAATACTTAGCAGTTGAAAACTATGGGAAAATAAGGGAAACTCTCCAGTTGTCTCATTAAACGGGGATGGGGAAATATGCCCACATTCTGCTGGCCATGTATAGCTACCAAGACTA